ATGCGAGAGTTCTCGCACGGGTACGCTAGTTTAGAAATAATGCGAGAAAGTATGTGCTGCTGAATCACCACTGGTTTGTTTGGAAACCAATGTGACAACTTAAGCACATGTTTTAGTGGTTAACAGGCTGCACCTCGAGGACCGGCTGAAGTGCTATTGTGTGTTATTTTCCGTAGTAAGAGCGGCCAATGAAAGGGGGCGGTCTTCATGTTTCTGAAAATTGACGGACCGACTCGAGAAATATAATTACTCCCTGCCTCCCTTCAACTTCCAAACATCGACAAGCTTCACCTGGGAAGCACACGCGGCCCAAAGATTTCAAAGAACTATGGCTGGGAGCCCGGTCATCGATGGGCCTTGTTGGTTTCATGAACAAACAAAAGTATAAAAGGAATGCATTTTCCATATATACAGAACAATTGGATATAAGGAATAATCTTTAAATATTTTAATGGTAATAATTATAACTGATGAAAAATAGCCATGATACAACGCCGTAACGTATATCTTGGCACGGCGATAAGCACTCCAGTCTTCGTTGGATCTGGGATGTTCCCGGGCACGTGTGGTGAAACGCGCCATTCGGCCGTAATATGAACTTGTGAGAGAGACGTATTGTGTTTGTGTGCGTCGTAATAGAGCCCTCTTACAGAGTTGGTTAGTATTTTTAGTTTTTCTGAGGGTCATGCACGGTGGAATAAAGTTAATATCGTAGTTTAACCCAAATAAAATCTGTTTGGCTAATTTAAGGCAATGTCCATATCGTTCACACGATCATTGTACGGATTATGTGTTTCGTCTGTATTTGAATTTCAACAATATCTAGTTTGTTCAAATCCCGCAGAGAGGGTTCCCAGCGCTGATGTGATTGCGCAAGACAACGCGAGTGTAACCCCAGCTGCAGCACGTGGGTGTCGGGACCCAACTTCCAATCATGCATGACGCATCGTGAATCGTCTTTTACTTTTACGCTACCGCTTATGCAGTAGAGAGAAAGTTATGTAATGCTGGGCGAAAAAATGGCGAATGTTCGGCTGAAAAATCTTATTACAATGCCCTGGTAACGCAAAAGTGGATAAATCCAGTTGCTAAATTTAGAAAAAATCCTCTATATCGTGGTATAGCCAGAATCTCTAAGTTTTGTGGAATCTCGATACTGAAAAATCGATCGACGGCCAAAAACGTCTGTTCGTCCGTCTGCGCTAGCGGCTAAACCGTTCAGCCAATATTGTCCAAAATTGATATTCCACATTCGATCTGGCTGATGTTGCGGCTTCTTGAATACCGATATTTTTTTATTTTGAGGGACACTTTACTTGAAGCTCTTGTGACTTTTCCAATGTTTCAAAAAAATGGCTCCATAGTTTTTGATTAACTTTTGTCGCTGGATAGTATGAAGAACGCTTAAGAAAACGGCACATGTCTCATTTTCGTTGAATTTAACTCTGATTTTTCGAAAATTGTAAGGAGTAAACACTTTTTCGGCGTCTTCCTTCAACTACAATTATGGAGATGTAGATTTGTTACCTCAATGAAATCTGTTCCTGAAAGATAGATTTTGAAATAAGGTCACGCACAATTTTTCACAAATTTGAGTACTTTTCGCGTGAAAGTGCGGGCGAGAAAGTGCGCGCTCTTTTTCCACCACTAGTGCACTCGGCGTCTCAGCACGAGGGGCGAGTTGCGTTCATGGTGATTGGGATCATCCTATCAATGAGCGGAATGCTGAAATTGTGGCGACTGCTCAGTCGACTGTCAGTCCATTTCGAATTGCTTGCAGGGAAGGGGTGCGCGTTCTTGCAGACAATCAATAATTGAAAGGAATGATAACCGAATACAAAACGAATTTAATTTTATTGCACACATATTGGATTGAATGTAGTTCAGTTTTGCCGTTACACCCAGATTTCTAAAGCGTGATTTTTTAGAATATTCGAACTAGGGGAGCTAATGCAGCATGAACTTTCTCGCCATTTGTAATGGTTATGTAATACTATTTATACCACTATTTCTCTACGAATTATTTTTTGTAATACTCATTTCATATCGTAAAACATTTGGTGCGAAAAATGAGTAGAATGCAAGAAAGTAAAAATATTAAAAAGATAATACTATTTATACCATACTATTTATACGATACTGATAGCGTTGGAAAACAAATATATCGAAAAAATATAATAGTAATTATTAAACACTATGGTATTGTAATATTCTACAAATATATAATAAAAGTATTATTTTTAATTTCCGCGTACTCAAAACAGCCGCCATTATCGTGTGATCTGTGCGGCGCAGCGTTACGACAATGAGCAACAACAACCACCAATGGCCGCTCATCTATTCGTTTTCATATTGAACACAATTTATTAAAGAAGGCTATTTAAAATGAAATAACGTAAATATATAATAAATAATAATAAAATGATTCATGAAATAATATACAAATTCTAACTTACGTAGCATACATTTGCGTTCATTGGGAGCGGGCGACTGAAGACTAGCAATCTTTGTCATATTTATTTCAATTGTTTTAAATAATTTCGAAAATATTACTTTGTAAAAGTATAACAAGAGTTCCAATGTAAAAAACGAACAAAGAAATATAAAATATGAAACATCCTAACTTACGTAGCATCCAACTGCCTCAAAACACCTAAAATTACGATCCAGAAGCGCAGTATTTTCAGAGTAGGTGACCAGCTTTGACGCCCAATGACTCTAAAAACACTTATAGTTTCGAAAAATTCAATATGACCTTATTAATATATAATATTATATATATATATATATATATATATATATATATAATATATATATGTATCACATCACAACCACACACACCACACACACACACAGCATGATATTCTTTTCAGAATTGTAGTCGAAGGAAGACGCTGAAATAAATTTTGAATTTTTTCAATTTTTGGAAACAGAGTATTAAACGAATATGAGACCTACGCCATTATCTTCAACGTTCTTCAGATGATCCACAACAACATTTAATCAAAACCGATGGCGCCATTTTTTTAAAAATTTTGAAAATGTCCCAGAGGCTTCATGTAAAGAATCCTCCAAAATTAAAATATCGATTTTAAATGCAAGGGTCAGTGACATCAACTAGATTGTCCGGAAATATCAATTTTGAATAAAATCGGCTGAACGGTTTAGTCGCTAGCGTTGTTCACAGACGGAGTGGACACATTTTGCCGTCAATCGATTTTTCAGTATCAAGGACCCACAAAGGGCCCAGAGTTTCTGGCTACATCACGTGTTAAAGGATTTTTTTTTACTAAATTTAGCAACTGGATTTACCCACTTTTTCGTCACTAGGGCCCTGTAATAAGAGTTTTTCTGCCGAAAATTCACCGTTTTTTCGCGCAGCATTATAACTCTCTTTTTAAGTTCCTTTTTAAGCACGAGAAAGTAAAAAAAATGAAAGAATATCAGAAAAATGAGCTTTCTTCTTGGCATTTTAAAGAAAACGAGTACCCTACGATATCGCAACCTCCCCTCTCACAAACACACACACACACACACACACACACACACACACACCAAAAAAAATAAACGTACGAAACGCTTTACACGTGGAAAGGTTTTTGCAAAACTATTGAGAAGCCGAATGCTTTTAGGAAAAACTCTTTTTCGCAAAACGGTAACAAAAATATAATTCCGAAAACTTTAGTGAGCTACAAAATAATTTTTTTGTCGAAGCAAGGGGAAATTATTTGTTCTTCCGTAAAATATTTCTTTCAGAGTTTTTGTGAAAAACAAATTCAAATTATTAGTGCGTTAATTATTATAATATTATTAACGCAGCAAAGAAGTGGTTTTAGGTGAACGAAAGATAAAAGAAGTAAGAGAAAGGAAGATAGATATGAAAGGAACTGAAAAAACTTTTATGATTTATCTGAACCAATATTTGGAATGAGACTGAGCTCATAATGAGAATCAAGGAAACCATTTCCAGAATGTGTTACTGTCTTCGGTACTAATGGCCCTTTTTTGCAACGTGCAAAATTGACTGTAGCCTGTGAACCACAAAGAGACTTACGTTCATCTTGAAACTGTTCAAGTTACAATAAATAAAAAAAAATAGTAGATTGAACTCTCATAAAAGAAAATGTTACTTTCCTTTTTACTTTTAATAAACATGGGAAAGTTGCCCTCTATAGTAGCAGCGAAAAAAGCCATTTCCTGGAAAGTTAAAGAAATTGCATACTTTTATATTCTAAAAATGCGATACATTATTCTCGAAGACTGAGTAGCTTACACGTTTTAATTAAAGACGAAACCAAAAGTGATTGTCTATATATTGTATATTTTTATGTGCTGTAGTATCTTCTAATATTAAAGTCAATAAATTCTTGATTTGTATGAACTTCCTACCTAGTATGAACTTAGTAGAAACCTAGTATGAACTTCCTACGAATGCTACCTGATCTAATAAAATTGTTAGAAATTTAGCTTGTAAATATTTTTAGTTATTTTGCAAGCAAATCAGTAATGTCTTATTCGTACCATTCATGAATAAATGAAATCTGACTAATATTGTCTTGTGATTGCGATTACTTTGGATTACTTTTACGTATCAAAGAAAATAAATTGTTATGATAGCGTACTAATAAATTCACTTTTCACTCTGCTTCATTAAAGTCAGGAATCATTAAGCTTTTTAATGAAAGAGATACAGATCCATAAAGTTTTGAAATTACGATTATCGTCAATGCACTTGGTCAACAGCTAATTGAAAATTTTGAATTCAAATTCAAATAAGCGACCGACAACAATCTGACATAAGCAGACCCACAATGATGAGAAGAAAAAATATTAATTTTTCTGTAGCCTGAAATCAAGTAAATAAATCCTCAAATATTCCGAATCACTTCATTCATTATTTTGTACCCATAATCCCCTGCCGGTAGGTTCAAATGAAAATCATTGCAGAACCCGCGCTGTAACTGATTTCCATTTGACTTGGTTCGCGATTTCACGTACAGAGAAATCCGCGGGCCTCTGCGGCGCGAGTTTGGTTCATTCGGCACGGCTCGGCTCACCGCAACGTCGGCTCGGCACGGCCAGATCTGTCCGCACCCCGCGCCGCAGAGGCGGCGCATAGCATCGATCCCGGCAAGCAGCAGATACGAACCATCGCCAACCTTGTGTGTTGCAATTCGTTATTTTGACTAGTAAAAGCGAAGTCGAATGAAAATTTTCCCTTTGGAATTTTAGTTCACACCCTTGGGTTGGGAATTAATCTGTATTTTGAGCTGAAACGGAGTATTTTCCATAATAATTCCGCAATACACAACTATTGGTTATATTATTTTTGAAGAAAATATTAAAGTATATCACATCAACCCTACCTAAAAATCGTGGAAGTAATAAAAAATATTATTTTACCACAATTGAAATGCATATCTTAAAAAAAATTAACACTAGACAGACTGAAAACGCAACAATCGGGTAGGAAATATTCAATTTTATGAATGACCTACGTTTTCCATTTTGCCTCAGTTTTTGGGTGTTATTGTCATTTCGTACAAACATTATTCAAAAAACTAGAAATATTATATTACGAAATTTTGCTTTCAAAAATTTTTTGCAAAAGGGGACAAATCCCAAGATGCATTGTTTTTCTACGCTTTACATAGTTCCAGTTGCACATTTCGAAAAATTCGTCCCCTTTACTCTGGTCAGTATTTAGAAAAAATATTTAAACTTTTAGTGTAATTTCTATTTTTTATTAGTTATGAATGTTTTTTCTTTTGGATGTTACGATAAAAAAAATGTTTGCGTAAAAATCTAAGAAGCTGCTCAAAGAGGCACTTGTGTTGTTGTAAACCCCCATTTAATTTCGATTATCTATATTTAGGTCATCAGGAGCCATGGCTGGTCAATTTATAGTAATTATTTTTTCAATGTTTCTTTTTTAGTATTTACAAATTAATGAAATGTACAATAATATTATTATTTTAAATTAAGCATTGAACAGTTACAAAGAAATATGAAAAAAACTATTGTTATTATTTAATTTCAATTTCTCATTGCCACAATATGCGGTCACTTCGCTCCTCCTCCAACCACCCTCCATATCTTAACAGGCGGACGCAGCGCGCCGGTCTGACTGTATCTCACCAACTGTACACACCATAGCTTGACGCATTGCAGGTGCGTACCAGCCAATCAGAATGCAGCTTAGTTTGGACGTTAGACGAGCCGACAAGGAAGTCCTGTAAACAAGACCGCACCCTGCACCTATAAAGCTCATTGCCTTGCGCCTCTGAAACTTAATCCGCGATCTGAACTCGATTTAGAAGGAACGTACGTAAAACGGATTAATCGTGTTAGTGTATTATTAATATTTATGTACAGTGAATCTCGTTCATTTGTATAAAATTCGTGTGTGTTGAATATTTGAGTGTACGTAATTATTGACGCGGAGGTATACTTTTCAGTGAAGCCGAGGGACCTTCATTATTCGAGTATTTCGTGTCAGCACTCGGCGAGTTCGTTGTGTCCGTGGTAGTGCTGCTGGTTGGTATTACAAGCTAGTGTGAATTCTGGTCTATCAGCAATGGTAAGTTTAGTTTCTGGCTCTTCGTTTATCGTAGTTATTATTGATATTTTGTGTTTTGATGTTTGGAAGTTATTTTTAACATCGAACCGTTTTCATCGTTTCGTGTGATAGTTGCGGTTGCGATCGTCCGCTTTCGCATTTATGTTCAAGCAAGGTTGAAACTAATTTTGAATATAGTTTTTATTGTAAATATTGTTTATTCTTTCATTGTAACGCTCAGTTCATTGCTATTCTCGTTTGTGTTAATATTTGAAATCGGCCGGTTGCGGCATGGTAAGGATCAAATATTGGATTTGGCGTGTGTAAGATTTTTTTTCTTACCGAGAAGTAGTGCCGAGAAAGTTTTAATTTGAATTGCAATAATCAACTTACGAGTGACAGTAAAATTTTGTTAAAGACTCGTGGTTTTAAAAATATGTTCGTTTTAGGCGGATCAACTTACCGAGGAACAGATTGCCGAATTCAAGGAGGCGTTCTCCCTCTTCGACAAAGATGGTGACGGCACGATTACCACCAAGGAATTAGGTACTGTCATGCGGTCCCTGGGCCAGAATCCTACAGAAGCTGAATTACAAGATATGATCAATGAAGTAGATGCTGACGGTGAGTGATGTGATAGTGTGTTGAAGATAAGTGCAGGAATACTGATCTCAAATTCCAGTAAGGAAATACTGAATATTATTGTAATGTAGTAATATGTTGAAAGTAATTTTATTTCAGAAATTACGCGACAGCAGCATTTCTGAAGCTTGATGCTCACAGGGTCCTTGCATTAGGTTCCATGTAGTGACAAACTCATTAGAACTCCAGTAATGCTAATTTGAACTTCCCCCCCCAGGTAATGGAACTATTGACTTTCCTGAATTTCTTACCATGATGGCGAGAAAAATGAAGGACACGGACAGCGAGGAAGAAATTCGTGAGGCTTTCAGAGTATTTGACAAGGATGGCAATGGTTTCATTAGTGCAGCAGAGCTTAGGCATGTGATGACCAACCTTGGAGAAAAACTTACAGATGAGGAAGTTGATGAAATGATCAGAGAAGCAGATATTGATGGAGATGGTCAAGTGAATTATGAAGGTAGGAATGATTGATTGTGGTGGAAGCATGCTGATTTTGGAATTGGGATGTTTAAGACCACACATGTATATGTTTTTTCAAATTTTTATGAAAAAATTGGCATGTTTCTAGAGTTCAATGTTCATGGTGTACTTGCAACCTGGTTTTGAGATTCCAATGTTGGTATTGGCCTTCTCTGGATCACTGCAGTACTATATTGATTTGTTAGGTGTGGTGGGGAGTACTGCAGCTGTCTTACTTAGACCAATTTGAGGAAAGGGTGGTAGGTTGGGAGGGGGATTGTGTGCACATACTGAATTTTAAGTTTGTCATGAAATTTATTTTAGAAGCTGCTTTTTATTATTTTGTTACAAGCAGAGTAAGAAGGTTTTTCAACTGCTTGGAGTTACTTGTTCTTTAGACATCTAGCTAATTTTGCAATTTTATTTGACATTTGAATTGGGTTCCAGAATTCCTATCCTAGTTTCTTTTTTTTACATCCTTATAGCCTCATTTCTATGGATAACTAAGAATTTTATTACCATACTGTCCTGTGGTCACCTTTCAGTGTGAAACTCTTCTAAATGATTGCTTAGTTCATGTACATCTGGAAGGAGGGGCAGTATTTTCTTATTCTTGACCAAAACCATGTTAAAAAATGGGTTTTGTTAATTTTTTTTTTTAACTTTAAGTGACTTTTGTATTCTAACATGTGTAGCTGTTCTGTACTACAGATCTCAAAGAGTTCTCAGCTGTCTAGTTAGGGAGAATGTGTTAGTTTACTAATAAGTTTATGTTGCTTGGTCGGAATCTTTTGTGAAGATAAGTGTGCAACCTATTACTCACCTCTTCAGATACAAAACTAATTGTAAATATTAAGTTCTGTAAGAGGCTAATAGTTGTGCATGTGGGGCATGTGAGTGTGTGTGCAAGTATTTGATTATGTGGAAAGGAGTGAATATTATGAAGCTGGACAAAGTGAAACTGTATAACTGTTTCAAATTACTACTGCTACAGAAGGTATTGAGATTGGGATATATTCTTATGTCACACTAGTATGCAAGTAATTGCTGCCTAGAGTATTTTTGGTGGAGAAATTTGTTACGCTAGTAGAAATACTATATAAAATAGGGTTGTTGATTTTGATGTGGGAATATTACTGTAGTTTTATAAAGATTCCATGAAGGATAAAGAGATTTTGGTTAGTCAAAATCAAAATTACTTGGATAGTCATTTAATTTGGAGTTGAAGTGAGTTATACAGAGATTATGGGTTCTTTTCACACTCCTATTTCAGATTTTTCATTGTGACAACTTTGAAGAAACATTCTAGAAAAATTGTAGCTTATATCTCAATTTTGTCTTGCAGGCATTTGTGAATATTCCAATTCTTCATTCTTGCACATGATTCTCATTTTGCAGAGGTATCTACAGTTAGTTGCGTTCAGATTGATTGGTTAAACTGGCTTTTTATTATTTTCTTAGGTGCTGTCAGGAGTACTCGTAAAGATTTTGGTTTTCAGCTATTTGTCAGTTTTTCATTATAAAATTCATGATAGGTTATGGGTTAATACTTAAATTGATACTAATATTTTGATATTTAATTTTGGTTCTACTCAATTGATGGAATTGGTAAAGAGTGACTGTTTTCTTCTTTGTTACATAGATCTATGTAAAGTTCTACTGTAATTGAAATCCCTTGCATTTTATGTACAAGAAAAGTATTGACTGCTACTAATACTTGCTTTGTTGTATAGACAATCAAGTTGTGCAAAATGTTCTTGTTGTAAAGCAGGCATTACACTTCATTCAGATCATCTAAAAATGCTTTGAAATTTGAAGAGCATTAATAAAAGTTCTGGAAATAACAAACAAAAAATGCAAATTATTTTATCTGAAGTTCTAGAGCATATATTGCAAAGCAAAAAGTATAGAATGAAGGTTAAAAGGATGAGAAAAAGGAAAATTTTCTTATTATGGGGAAGTAGTCTTAGTATTGCACATAAAATGCAAGGTTTTACAATGTATTAGGGATTTATGAACAATCAGGATTTATGAAGTCATAATTTTAAAAAATTATCCATTTTCAAATTAAATGTGCTATAAAATAATTTGGGATAATTGTTAATCTTAATTTAAAACTATTCATTATAAATTGTTTAAACTTTCGACAAATATAAAATTGGTGTATATGAATATTCAAGATCACTATTTTTAAACATTCACAAGATATAATATTAAAAAAATATAAAATGCATATTCAATACACATTTACACTAAATTGATATATGGGTCTGTTAAAATAAGTGTTTAATTTAAATTGTTGAAATCCTTTGATCTGAAATCACTATTAAAAGTAGGTTTTTCGTTATTGTATGAAAGATTAGAACACCACAGTGGTGCCGGTGTCTGCAATTACATTTCATTCTTCACTTGATCGAAATATTAATAGTTCTGAATTTTGATGGGTAGGTATATTCAAAATTTTCCTTTAATGAGCAACTTGTGATCTATTGGTGAATATAATTATATTACAAATTTATTTTAAGGCCTTCTATCAGTTAGAAATGTAGTATGTGCATCATTCCTCTTGATTATTCAATCATTCCTATAATCATGTCATGGAAGTAGTGGTTATGTACTATTCTGTAGTGTATGTGAAATTGATTAGATAAAAAGATATCATACAGATTGTAGGATAAAAATTATCACTTTTGACAGATGAGATTCTCAGCATGCTACAAATTAACAGTAACCTCGAACAATAGCAAAGTTTAAAATTTTTGGATGCTCTTTTATTGAAGAGGATTTCTCAGCAGAGTTCAAAGGAAATAGATTAATCTTTAATTCTGAAGTGAATGATTAAAATACCACATAATGCTTAGATGTGAAATTGATTGCGAAGAAACTTTCTTGATTTAGTGCACCTGCTTTTCAGATAGTTCAATATGTGATTTGACTTTATTAAATTTTGTGAGATTTTGATTGGAGGAGGTGGGATGTGAATTTAAAATGCAGGACTTCATAGTCTAGCATTTATTGGGAAATGTACAGAATGTTTAGAAAAGTAAAATTTGGCTGTTGTGTAATTTTTCTTTAAGAATCTTAACTGTTTTGAATGTAACAATCTGTTGCTTGAGAAACCATGGTATTAAGTCTAGTAAAAATATTACACTAATAGTTGTCCTAGTCTGAAAAGATTACAAACATGTACAGTATTTAAAGTTTCCATTTTTTTTCAGAAACTGTTTTCTTTTACTGCAGATAATATTGTCTATGTGTTTCATTCCAGGCTGTTTTTTATGTAATAAAAATATTTAGTGCTAATATTAATTATTTAACACTTATATCCTTTTGCTTTTTTTGACAATCAATCAAACTGCTTTTCTTGAAACAAAGTACATAATGTATTATGAATTTTGTACTTGTTTTTTTTTTAATGCATTTTATCTCTGATTTCAATGTATTTTTGTTTTGATTCTGTTGAGTTTCTTAAAAATTGGTTCTCATTATTAATTTAAATGCAAAAGAGGAAATTGTTTTTCTATAATCCAGAAGATGCTTATATGCAACACACAGAACGTGTTGAACAATGGAGATTTTCAGTTATCAAAAAAATGCAGGATATTTGTTTAATAATTAATATTAAAGACAATCCAGATTTTTCTCCGTTTCACTTTATTGCTCATGTCTTCCAATTGCATTGGCGTCTTTTGGATTTCCTGTTTGACTTGTTTGTTTGAGGTTGTTTCTTAGGAGACAATTGGGCTTTTCAAAAATTATGGATATTCTGATAATTTTGCAATAATATTGATAACTATAGTCCAACTGTAATCTCTTGATAATAGTAAATCATCTTGGATAGATTTCTGAAAAGCGAAACTTGCCAGAATTCATATATTAATGACATTTTTAATTGATCTCGCATAATGGGCAGGTGCTAAAGAGTATTGAAATGCAGATTTAGTATTAATGAAAATTTTGTATTGCAAAAATTGGTGATACATGTTATATGGTGGGTAATGTTTTCAGCTCCTTATTTCTACCAAATGAGGAAATAATGTTCTGTTTAATGGAATCTATTTTTTCATATTAAGATTGAATTAAGGCATGTGCTACAATTTTGCCTGCAGGTTCACTAGTGCCCTGACAATGTAGATTAGATACAGACCTTTTCTGTGTTAATTACCATTATTATTATTACTACAGTATCAAGATGTGTGGGAATTTCATATTTTGGCAATGTATTCTTTATTCTCCACACTGGTCATTTATTCAGTAGAACATTCAAATATTTTGAATAGATAGATATGTAGTTGTAGAACATTTGTGCTTCAGTTAAGCAAGTTTCTTTTCATTGGTAGGACGTTCTCTTTAACAGTAATAAATTAATTCAACATTTTCTATCTTAAACTTTATTTTTGTGAAAAAGTGGCATAATGAGATTCTAATAGATAATACAAATCATTGCTCTTTTGGAGTATTTGGTTTCGTAAATATGTAGGAAACGTGAAGAGCCAAATTATTAAATCCTTGTCTGCGAGTAAGTACTAGTTTTTTGGTTGAATCGGTCATTGCAAAAGTTTTGAGCAGTAAATATTCAAGGACTGAATAGACTGCAGAATATGTGGACCAGAAAATATTGATTTGTAACTTGTGTAATTAGGCAGTCTTCTGTTCTTGTTGAATCAGTCACTTTTGGGGCACAGATACTGAAAAGCATTATTGCTAATTTCAAAGGATAAATAGTTACTATGTTTATACACCCACTGTTTTGCAAATGTGAAAATGGCATGTAATTCTAATTTCGTGCAATTTTGAATTTTTAAGAGTATGACTTGCTGCTTGTAGGAAGTTGGGTGTTATTGTTTTCAAAGCATTCAACACAGCATATTTTGTAGTCTTATTCTCTTTCGTTAATAATTACTCATGCAACAAGTGCATGTTCTCTTTTGGGTAGTTAACTTTTGCATGGTCAACACTGCCACATAATTAAGAACTTCATACCCCTCCCTCCCTCTT